GACCCGAACCCACGCGCCTCATCTTCTGGGACCGCTGTGGTGTGAGCATGTGACTCCAGCAAGTGTGCGGGGCTCAGCTGGCGTGGCCACAGCCCGTTGGTCTCTGAGGGTCTACAGACGCCCTGCATCCAGACCAGGTGGACCTTTCGGAATCCAGGTTTCCCAGGTACCGAGGGGCCCCCCACACCCCAGGCCTGGACGGTGGTGAGACTCTCTCCCCTCTCCCACGGCCCTTGCCCCAGGCACTTGTCGACAGGTCTGCACCTGTCTTTGGGTATTTTTAGGATGGTTGAAGAACACATAATACCCACCCTATAGTCAGGGAAAGACAATGCCCGCTATGTTAATCCTGTGGCTATTATTGTCGGGCATCTCCTGGGGCCGGACCCAGGCTGAGCCAGGACAAGCGGGACACTGGCCCCTCTCGGAGGCCCGGGAAGGCCTGGCCAGCAGCCGGACATTCGGGAGCTCCGCGGGGCCCTGACTTGGTGGGGGGAGAGCGGGCAGACTACCTCTAAGCAGACGCGCCCACAGTGCCCAGGGAGGGGTAAGGCCCTGCTCTCCGCTCCAACGAGGGCAGGAAGTGGCGAAAGCAGCTGCATGGCCCCACCAGCATCCCGCCAACATTCCCGGCAGCATCGCCAGCAACAGCCCCCTGCATCCCCCCACCCCCGCACCCCCAACGCGGCGCCACCTTCCTGCAGTCCCGGCTCTCACCACCAGGGGGCACTGCCCGCGTGGGTCCATACGCTCCTTCAAGCCGCTAGCTGCCCCCCTCTGCTAACTCAGCCTCCTCTGCTGTGATCCCGGGGGGAATCCAAAGCCTCCCCTCCCCATCCGGACAGGCCCCTGTGCCCTGGCAGACGCTGCTTCCCCGCGCTGCCCCCCAGGGGACAGGACGAGGGCCCTGGGCTCTCACCCGGAAGGAGATGGTCCTGGGGCTGGAGCGCCGGAGGGAGCTGCTGTAGGTGGCCCTGGGGCCCGAGGACGAGCCCTCCGCTCCCTCCTTTCTAGGAATCTTCACCTGGGGGGAGGGGGAGGGTCACACGGGCAGCCTGGCAGCCCCGAGCCGCGGCGGGGACGCCAGGTGGCCGGGCCCCCCTCCCCCCGCCGGGGCTGCAGGAGGAAGGGGGCAGTAGGAAGGCCTCTCGTCTGCCGGGGGGCGGTGGGCACGGATCCGCAGAGCCAGGCCGCCAGGCGCGGGGCCGGGCCCCTGAGAAGGACGCGGGGTCTGGGGCCCTGAATCCCTTTCAGCACCAGCCCCCCTCGGCGTCCCCTGATCCGGCAGTGACCGGGAGCCATCGCGGGAGAGGACACGGCCAAAGTCAGCGTGAAGGAGGGAGACGGGAGACAGCAAGGGGGCCGCAGACACCGGGGCAGGACTGGGGGGGGGGCGGGGGCGGCACTGCCAACCTGGACTGTGATGGTCGGGAAGCTGGCAGCCGCGGGCGGAGGCTGGCAGGTCCCTGGCTCTGCCGAGGACCGCTGGTTCTTCCCGGGGGGAGGGGCTGCTTTCTGGCCTGCCCCTGCCGCGGGCTGCTCCTGGGCCGGGGGCTGCTCCCTGGGCTGGGGGCTGCTCCCTGGGCTGGGGCTTCTCCCGGGGCTGAGGCTGAGGCTTCTCCCGGGGCTGAGGCTGAGGCTTCTCCTGGGCCTGGGGCTGCTCCCTGGGCCAGGGGTTGCTCCCTGGGCTGGGGCTGCTCCCTGGGCTGAGGGTGCTCCTGGGGCTGAGGCTGAGGCTGCTCTTGGGCCTGGGGCTGCTCCCGGGGCTGAGGCTGCTCCTGGGGCTGGGGCTGCTCCGGCCCCGGGCGGCGCTGCTCTGCTCTGGGGCTGAGGCTGCTCCTGGGGCTGGGGCTGCTCCCGGGGCTGAGTCTGAGGCTCTCCTGGGCCTGGGGCTGCTCCCTGGGCTGAGGTTGCTCCCTGGGCTGAGGTTGCTCCCTGGGCTGGAGCTGCACCTGAGCCTGGACTGGGGCTTCTTTAAGACTCTGGCCCTCTTTGGGACCAGCTTTGTCTCTGAGACCGATAACTTCTCAAAGAGCAAGGTTTTCTTAGACACCATCCCCATCCTGAACGTGGCGTCTTCCCTGGGGCCGGAGCCCGCCTGTTCCCACGGCTCCTGCGAGCCCTCGGGAGGCAGCTTGCCGGCAGGCCCTCTGCGGGGCCCTACGTGGCGTGTGGTCCATCAGAGCCTGGTGTTCTCAGAAACGACCCCCTCCCGGCGTGTCCTAGCCCTGTGCGGTCTCCCAGGTGTCCTAAGTGTCCCCCAGCTTTGCACCAAGACCCGCGGCTGGCCCTAGGGGATGTGGCCGCCCCACGCCCTGCTGCTCAGAAATGTGTCCAGGCCCTGCTGAGACCCCGGCCCAGTCCCTCCTTGTCCCACCCGGGCGTCGCTGTCCCCTGAGAGGAGGAACTGCATAGACGGGGGACGAAGCAGGGATGAGGGGTGGTCTCCTGGGGGGACGTCGGCGGGTGGGATTGTGGAAACTCCCACAAACAAAAGGGTGACTAAGGACTGAGAAAGGGGCCTACTTGACACGGAGGAGGCACCGAAATCTGTTAGACGTGTGTACGTGGGCTTGTGACTGTCAGGCGCGACCGCCACGCCCGCTGCTGTGGGGACAGGGAACCCCCGGGATCCCCGCTCTGGCCGCCGTGGGGAAGGAGAAGCGGCCCTGTGAAGGCGGGGGTGGGCGGGGGATTCCAGGGCCTGCCGTCCCTTCTGGCAGCAGAGAGGGGCCCCTTCCCCCGCGGGCCGCAGTCTGGGGAGCCCGTGGCCTTGCCCTGGGGCTCCCCCTGGGATCGCGTGTCCTCGCGGATCCCCCAGAGGAAGTGAGCAGCACACACCGGACAGCGTTTAATGGACGTATAGAGGGGAGAGTTACAGAACGAGCATCTCACACCTGGAGACCGGCGGTGCACCTGCCTCGGACGCCCGGGGCCCCTCCCCCCGGGCCCCTCCCTCCACGCAGGGCCGAACACGGTCCACGCGTGTGTACCTGTCCCCGTTCCCTCTGTGTAACGTCGGCGCCCGTGTATGAATCCTCCCCCCCACCCCGGCCGTTCCCGTCTTCTCGTCGTCCCGACAGACACGCTTGCTCTCTGCTTTGTCCGCGTGTCTGTCCCAGCCTCTGTGTGTGTCCCCAGAGCAAGGCTACTGGCTGTGGCAGGGACGGTGTTGTCTGCACGCGTCTCCCTTTGTGCCCATGAGCTGTTTGCAGCGGGAACCCAGGGCACGTCGCTGCCGCCCCAGGCCGGTCCCATTGAGGGCCCCTCGCCTCTGGCGCTGAGGGGCCCCGGGGACAGACCAGCCCGGAGAGCACCTGGCACTGCACTTTGCCCCCGGCTCCTGGCATTTATGGCAGACAGCACGCGGGGACAGAGGGCAGAGGGCAGGACAAGGGCCGCAGGTGGTGGAAGGGGCTCCCCCTGTCCTGGGGTCAGGAGGCCAAGGGGCCCAGCTCGGGGACCAGACACTTGCTCTGAGGGCTGAGCTCAGAGCCTCCAGGACGCGCACTCTGTGGGGGAGGGCGGGGGAGGGGCCGCCGCACCCCCTCCCACATGTAGCCCACAGGCTGGCGCCCTTGTTGGGCTTTGGGTCCAGTGTCGGGGATGCAGAGAGGACCTGACCCAGGGGCCGGACCAAGCTGCCCACTGCAGGGGGCGGGACGTTGGACCGTCTGGGAGCCGGGAGGGAATAACCGGGGACCAGGGCAGATGCAGGCGAGGAAGCCCCTGGACGTGTGGAGAGGTGCCACCTGGCGGCCAGATGTGCACCTGCCTCGGCCTGCAGGCCCGGGAGAGGGCCCGCCTCTGAGAGGAAGGGGACTGAGGAGCCAGGCCGCGTGGGCTCCGGGTGCTGAGCCTGTGCTGGCGGCTGGTGCAGCAGGTTGGGGTTGTAGGGCTGGGCTGCTTCCCGGGCCCGGGCGGGGGAGCTGGGTGAGGCCCCCGGGATGGGGCGGAGGTCCCGGGGCACCGCGGCGGCCCCGCTGATCACTTAGCCCTCACGCTGACTGGGCTGCTCGCTGGGGGGACGGGGACGGGGGAGAGGGCCAACGAGCCCTCTGGTCACACACTCCCCGAGACGCTGGCGACACTGGGATTTTAATGGAGAGGCAGCGAGCCTGTGGCCGCCATGCAGGTCACAGCGGCGTGGAGGGCGGGGACATCAGGCACCGGGGTTCTGCTCTGTGTGTCCGCTGGTCCCGGTTCCAGGGGACCGCATGTCACTCAAATTGGCGAGGGAGGGGCTGCAGGGGCTCGGAGGTGCAGGGACACGCAGAGGAAGGACCACGCGGGGCACCCAGAGCCAGCGCCCCCGCGGCCTGTGGGGACAGAGAGGCGGCCGTCAGGCCCTGGGGCCTGGGTGCACCCGATGCGTCCCTGACTCGCCCGCAGTACCCGCAGCCCAGGGCCTTCTCACCCCAGCGCAGCCTGGGCTGCTCCACCACCCACAGGGGCCCCCGCGAAGCCCCCAGGGACGGGCTCAGGGCCCTGAGCCCCTCCCTGTCCCAGTCCCTGTCACTGGGCTCCACACCTCACCCGCCACCCCTCCCTGTGGCCGGCTCCTGCCTGGGTGTCCACAGCCAGCTGTGGGCCACCTTCCCCTCTGACGCCCGCCCGTGGCTTCCCGCAGCCCCGCCCCCTGGCACAGCCCGCCCCCCGCAGGGTCTCCTGGGGGCTCCTTTGCTGCTCTGGCCAGTTTCCCCAGAGGGTGGGAGTCTGTCTTCTCCCCACGGACCCTCGGGGCAGGGCCTGGAGGGCAGGACAGCGTGCAGGACTCCCCGGAGGGAGGCAGTAGGAGGAGCTCAGCCTCCCGAGAGTCGGAGCCCGAGGGCCCTGGGTCAGAGTCCCGCAGAGGGCCGGCCTGCCCGAGGTTCCATTTCAGGTGGGGCCCATGATTGCACTCCTCGCCCTGCACCGTGCCGGCCAGCCCGCCAGCCTTGCCCAGGGTCCCTGTCGCCCTCAGACCCAGGTGGGGCCCGAGGGGAGGGAAACAGGTACCTCTACTGCGGGGCCGGAGCCTTGGCGGCGTCAAACATCTTTTTCCGGCCCTCCATCCCGGACATGGCCTCCACGTTCTTCCTCCAGTCTCCCACCTCCACGGGCCGCTCCTGCCGGGAGAACACGGGCTCAGAGCCGTGCCGGCCACGCCGTGCTGCGGTTCCACAGGGCACCGCGGGGACACGGGCCTGTGCCCGCCCAGGAGCCAGAGCCTGCCTCACCTCCAGGCCCCGCACCCCCTCCTGGTTCCACTCCGCAGCCCCAGGCCACCTCGTCTAAGGAGCCTCGCTCCTGCCAGTCTGGCTCCTGTTCCATCCATGGGCCCACTGCCCGCCTGGGCTGGGTGGGGAGGCGGGCGAAGGCCCAGGAGGGAGAGGCTCCAGGACTCACCTTCTCGGAGTCCTCCTTCTTCACCGACTTCAGGTTGGCCCGCAGGTCCATGGACACATTGTGCTTGGAGCCCAGCAGGGCGCGCAGCATGGCGTCGGCTGAGACGCGGACCCGACGCAGGGCCGGGCGCTTGAACTTCCCGCATTGGTCCAGCACAGTCAGCTTCAGGTTCTTAATCTGCAGGAGGCCAGGGCCCGTGGTCACTGGAGGGAGGCCACCAGAGAGCGAGAGCTGCGCCCGGGTATCCCAGGCCCCCAGGACACACTGACCCACCCCTCCCTCTGCAGACGGCCACATGTCGTGTCGATAAATGAACGACGAGTAAACGGACAGACGCAGCTGCCTGGCCTCCCCGCCCTGACACGCATGGAAGGCGGGGGTGTCCTGCTCCGAGTGCGGTGCCACCTCCTGGGGCCCCGCTCCGAACGCACCCTCCCCGCCCCGCCCTGCAGCGCACAGAGCCGCAGGGGCCCTGCCGTGCCCGCCCTGAGCAGCGTGGGGACGGCCGAGGGAGCCGGAGCTGAGGAGTGTGCGGCCGGGCCTCTCTGGCCCTCGGTGTCCTGCTCTGTGAGGTGCTGGTAGGAGCACTGGACCCCATCCACGGGCACGAGGAGGGGCAAAGGCACAGGCAGACCATTCCCACAGGAGAGGAGTTATTCGCAGGCACGTGCGCCTCTGTGGGCATCGCGGGGCCACGCCACTGGATGGAGGAGCGCGGGGCCTCCAGACACGTCTGTGTTGTTCATCTCCAGGTCCTGCCCTGTCTGCCAGCTCCAGCCCTGGGGGGCCTGAGCTCTGGGTGGGGGGGCCACCGCGTCCTGCCGAGCGACGGGCCCGGACCCTGGGGCAGGACGGGGACCGGTCCACAGCGGTGCGCCCCGCCCCGCCGCCTCCGCCCCGTCCCGCGGGCTCACCTCCCGGGTGTTGTGGAGGCACTTGGCCTCGATGTCGTATCTCTCCTCGTCCACCGTCTCCGCCTTGGCGTGCAGCTCCCGGCACAGGTCCTGGGGGAGCAGGGGTGAGGAGGGGGCGGGGGCCCTGTGCGGCTGCCCTGCCCCGAGCCCGCCCACCCGAGCCCCTCTGCCGGGCCGTGGGCCCAACAGCAGCCCCTTCTGTCTGGGGCTGGCGACGCGGACGGCCGGGAGAGGAAGCCGGAATGTGCCTTTCTGAACGCGCGGGTTTCCTCTAAAGCGCCTTCTTACGGTAAAATCTCACAGGCTGATGGAGACATCGTAAGGGCTGCATATTACACAAAAGCGACTGGCGCAAAGGGACTGGCCACGCCACCGCAGGGGGGTGAACCAAGGCCCATGTTGCTCTACTTCCTTCTCAGCAGCTGCTGGTCTCGGACCAGAGACCAGTGCGTGGACACATGAGAGGCCCCTCTGCGGGCGGAGGGGGCAAGTCTTTGGAGACGTGGGGCTTCCCAGGTCCTGCTGCCTCCCCACGCGACACCGCCTGCACCGTCCCCGCTGTCCACACGGTCCCCACCACCCACACGGTCCCCATGTGGCGCCAGCTCAACCCTGCGGGGACATGCCCTCTCCTGCACCTGTGAAACGGGCCCTACCCGCGCCACGTTCATGGAGAACGGGGATGAAATGAGGAAAAGCCACTGGTAAATTACAGAGCTGGGAGCCCGGTTGGCGGCACTCCGGCCACCTGGTCCGCGGTGTCGCCCTACGGCGGCCCCTGCACCCGGCCGCCAGGCTCACCTGCAGGGCGCTGAGGGACAGGCCGCGGGTCTCCAACTTGGGGACGCGCTCGGCCAGGTAGCGGGACTTCTCCGCCTCGCGCTCCTCCTGCTCCTGGTCCCAGCATTCCTTGGCCTTCGCCAGCATCAGGCTCTGGGCAGGACGGAGCGGGTCAGGGGGCCGGGCCGGCCCCCCACCCGCGCCGGGCCTGAGGGGAGGGCAGACCCCCACTGGGCCGGCTCCTCTCTGGCCTCCGCAGGCTCTGGGGGCGCCCTGTCCTCACGCCCTGGGAGCCTGAACCCAGGACAGGCGCCGAGCGAGGCGGTGCGCACCAGCCCAGCGAGGACAGCCGGCCTATGATCTCACACGCTCATGGGCCCCTGGCCCGTTTTCCCTCCCAGGCTCCTTCCAGTGACTTCCATCTACTCTACCCACAAAGCTCCAAAGAGAGACTCTTAACAAAATAGAGCTAGTCCCTCTGCCCCGACCTGGCCTCCCACCCTGCCTCGGGTTACTGCCCCCTCTCAGGACCCCCGGGCCGGGGGGGACCACGCCTGGCCCTGGCTCCAGAGCTCACCTTCAGCAGGAGTTTGCGGGAGGCAGAGATCTTGGATTTTCTCTGTGGGTGAGAAGAGCAGAGATGGGGTGAAGCAGAGGCTAAAGAACCAAAAATCTTGGCCAGGCCAGGACGTGGGCCATCCAGGGTCACTGTCCTCCCCAAGTCCTCGCCTGACAGTTCCTTCCAAGCTCCTCGCTGTGACTGGGCCAGAACTCTCCTATTCAGAGAGGGCAGCGGCAGCGCCCTGGACCAGAGGCTGGGCCTCTGCCGGGCACCAGGCTCACGCGGCCTCTGGGGACACCGCCCGCCTCGCCTGCGGGTCAGGATGCTGGACGCCCATCTCTGAGGCCAGACATTCACAGACCAACAGCCGCGGAGCGATGCTCCGGATGCCACCACCCGAATCCTGGGCTGGACACGCTCCAGCGGGGGCGACCGAGGCTCATGCCGGCTGAGGGTGCAGGGCTAGGACAGGGTGCTGAGTCACAGCCAGCTCTGCTCCGTCGCAGCCGCAGCACCGCCGTCCTGGGACCCTGTGCGCTGGACACCCCTCCCCACCCCTGAGAAGCCCCAGGTCTAGATCTTCGCCCTCAGTTTCTACTGTGGGAATTTGCTAAAGCCACGGGGGGTGGGGGCCTGAGCGCGACCCAAGCGCTCCCTCCGCTCCATTGCCCACCCCACCTTCCCCCGCCCAAGACTTAACGCGGACAGAGATCCCCCAACCCGACTCACCTCGCTTCAGGCGTCCGTCACAGAAGGGCCAGGGAGAGGGCAGAAGAGAGAGAGGGCGTTACTTCCGAGCTGCGTCCCACGCGGGCAGCTCGTGCGGGCAGGTGGGGGGACCACGGGGCAGCAGGAAGACCCGGCCCCAGGCACGGGACCAGTTCAGGGTCCCCGCCGAAGGGAATAAGACAGACGGCTGTCTGGGCTTCCCTGCCGGGGGGCTTCCCGTTGTAGGGGAACAGGGTAGAAGGTCAGGGGAGCCCGGGCCGGGGGCCCCGCAGTGAGAAGCTTCATCCCTGGACTCGCGGGTCAGTCCTAAGCGTCATCTATCTATGGGGCCAGCGGCGGTCATGGCCTGGCGCATGCCACCCATGTGATCGGTCAGACAGACAGATGCTGGCACATGCCAGGAAGGTCTTCCCAGGCAGCCTGAGGCCTTGCGTTCGGCTCAAAGGCCCGGAGGACGTTTGGGGACAGGGCACCCCGGCACTGAGGACTGTTTCTGTTTTAGGATCTGGCCTTCTGGGGGTTGGTTTCGGGGGGTGAACAGAGGAGCCCAAATCTGGGGCTGAATTCTGCTGGGAGGGAAGCGGCCTGCAGAGCCCGGATGCGGGGCTGTACTTACACTTCCGGCATGGTGGCGGTGGGCAGCACCTGCGGGCACAGAGGACTCATGAATGAGGCAAGTTTCCGCCCAGCGCCCCCACTCCCACGAGAGGAGCCATCCCCCGGAAGGAGAGCCAGGCGGATGGACTCCCGCGGGCGGGGCTGCGGCGGAGCCTGCGCGTTCTCCGGGGGGCCGTCCCGCTGCCTGCAGCGTCGTCGTGCCGGGCGCGTCACCCGGACACGGTGTGGCGGCACCCTCGCTGGGGCCGAAAGGAGACCCTGGGGGGCGGCTGGGTCGGTCGGGGGGCGGGCAGACCTGTGTTCACCCCGGTCTTCATCACGACCTTCCCCCGGCCCGTCGGCCTCTCTGCAAAATTAGGGGCTCGGGAGTTCATTTCCACTTCACGTTGAGCTCCTGAGCCCTTTGTTTGACCCAAATGCTACTTGGGAGCTGAACAAAATCCTTCCTGGAGAGCAGATGGCTCTGGTTGCAGGTGTGACAGGGGAGCTCAGGGTCCTCTGGGATGACCCCTGTCCATGCAGACGGTTTGAAGCCCCTGACCAGGGAATCCTGGCCCCCTTCAAGCCGACAGTCGGGGTCCAGACCAAGGAAGGGTCCTTGAGGCTATCGAGGGGTCTTCCAGGTCAGGCCTGGCCACTGGAGGGGTGGGGTTGAGCAGAAGGTCAGGGGAGTGAGGGGCCAGCTGGCGACGGCGGGGCGCGGGCAGGACAGCAGCCCTGACTGGGGCAGGGAGGGGAGGCGGGGGAACCCACGTGTCTGGGGTGAGGAGCTCGGGCCCAGGAGTTTGGATTTGGTCCAAGCAGCTGGTTTATAGCAGGGAGGCCAGAAACGAAAGCAGACTTGCAAAGTGGCCCCCCGTCTTTGCCTGGAGCCTCTCCTTTCCATTTGAGCCCAATGAAGTGTCCTCCCCACCACATGAGGGATGTTGGGCCATGTCACCTTAGCCCCCGCCCATCAGGGACCCTCTGGCCCCAGTTCTGCCCCCGCTTGGTAGTGATTGGGGTAGGAGTGCCGAGGGGTGGGGGCGACCCCGGAGTCTCAGCTGTCACCCTGGGCAGAGAGGGAGAGGTGGGCACCAATCCACCCATACATTCCTGAGATGCTTGGCTAAATTAGATTTTATTGTCAGCTGTTGATCCTGAGGCTCCACCCCTCCAGAGACACTGGGAAAGTCTTGAAAGAATCTCTCATGGGTGCAGAAGCCTCCAAGGTCCGTCTGTCCCTCAACGCTGCCCTTCCAAACGCCAGTCCAAGTGCCGGGCCTCAGCAGCGCATCTCCTGTCTCCTTCTAGGAATGGGCCTCCCGCTTGGTGAGCACCTGGACGCGCTCACATGTGTGCGGAGAGCCTCTGTCACCAGCGCGGGGCCCACCGGCCCGCCCCCGGCCAGGCCGGGCCTCCTGCCAAGCTCCAGGGCCTGCCACACTGACAAATGCCAGACCGGGGTCCCCCGCCTGTGCTGTGATACCCAGCAGACAGGACCCCTTGACAGGTCCCGGGGAAGACAGGCAGGGACCTGATAAGGCGTCAGGATGCAGACAGCGGCCAATGGGAGGTGGGAGGCCAGCATTCTTGTGCCCCACCGGTGGCCCACAGGCGGGGGGGGGTGTCGGGGTGTGGCCGGGGCCGGGCTCGCCCTCCCTGAGGCCCCTCGGTGGGACTGAGGGTGTAAGTGTGGGTGTGCACGTGGCCGTGTGTGGAGGGGAAGCAGCTGGTCCCTTTGCACACCTGGTCACCAGGGACGCACGTTTCAATGTTCTTCCTCCTGCTCCCCACCCCCGACCTTGGACCCAGCACAAGGGCATCCGGTCCTTCCTGACTGGCCGTGAACACACATCGCCCCTCCAGTCTCCTCTCAGGACCCCCCGAGGGGCTGTGTCCGAACCGGGTGGATGCGCTGCGGGGGCCCCCACCGCTGACAGAGGCCCCGCCCTGCCCCCCGCCCCGCACCCCCCCGAAGGCGCCCCGCGCGCAGACCCTCACGCTGCTGCCCCCGGTGCCAGTGCGCCCCGCGCCCACTCCTCAGAGCAGGAGCGCGGCCCCGGGCCTGGCCGTGCGCCCTCGCCTGCTCCTGTCCTGCCGTCCAGCGTCCCGCGGCCGGGACATCCCTCAGAGACAGAGAAAACGGGGCGAGGGTCTCCCAGGCTCCGGGTCCCTCTGTCTCCGCCCCAGGTGCCGCTCACTGCGCTGCCCGCCAGGCTCCGCCTGCGCTTCCGCGTGGAGCCTGCGCCCCCCGACCCTGGTCCCCACGGCCGCCCCTCCCCGAGGTGCCCGTCGCCTCCTGTGGTCCTGAGCTCCCGGCTGCAGACACTCACCTGGGCGGCGGCGGGGAGCTGGGCTGGCTGTGAGCGGCGGCGGAAGACAGACTGCGGGGAAGCTCGCAGGGCAGGCTATGAGGGCTGCGGCCCACAGCGACTGGCCGGTAAAAATAGAACAGACCTGCTGGCCCTCCCGCCGCCCCCTCCCACCCGCACCTCCCGGGCCCACAGGCAGGCTCCCGCGCAGCGGGCCCACGGGCTGCAGGCACGTGTCGGGGTGGGAGTGGACAGGTGTACCCTAGGGGGCCGGCGCTGCGACGGGACCGGGGGGGCCGCCGGGGGTCCCGGCACTGCGGGGCGGGGCGTGGGCGGGGGCTGTCTCCATGACCCCGCACCTCCACCATGGAAAAGGAAAGGGACCTCGGTGAGACTGCCTCCCCTCGCTGGCTGCCCTTTGTCCCCGGCCACACACCGACAGGTCTGCACCTGTTTACGGGGTATTTTTAGGGCGGCCGATGACACATAATACCCACCTTATAGTCAGGGAAAGACAATACCGCTGTGTTAATCCTGTGGCTATTATTGTCGGGCATCTCCTGGGGCCGGACTGAGGCTGGGCCAGGACAAGCAGGACACTGACCCCTCTTGGAGGCCCGGGAGAGGCCTGGCCGGCAGCCGGACATTCAGGAGCTCCGCGGGGCCCTGACTTGGTGGGGGGCGAGCGGGTGGACGATCTCTATGCAGACGCGCCCACTGTGCCCAGGGAGGGGTAAGGCCCTGCCCTTTGGACCCTGCACCTGAGGCCCAGCCATGGCGACTCTGTGGGTCCGCCAGGTCTGCTCGGGGAAGCCTACGCTGGGCGGCTGCCCGCGAGAGAGAGCACGGGGTCGGCTGTCACAGGGCTGGGCTCCCGCCGGAGAGGGAGCGTGGGACGCCAGGGCGGCACCAGCCAGGGGCCGCCGGGGTCCGAGGAGGAACTGGGGGGTGGGGCTGCGACCACCGGCATTCGTGGCAGTGCTTATTATGTTTATAATTCATACAACACCGGGATACGCACACGCAAAAACGAATTGTCTGTGTGGGTTATCCTGCTTTTGGGAAAGGAAAAACGGAGCGAACGGGCTGACCGACCGATGAGGAACAGGTGGCCAACACCACCCAAAACCCGGGTGAATGGGCCCCCCACCCCCCGCACAGGGAATCGCGGCCTCTGAGGGTCTCGGGGGCGATTCCTGCCCAGGCTCTGCTGGGGCAGAGTGGGGTCAGAGTCCCCGTCCGGTCCACAGTCCCTCCCAGGACTTGGGAGGCTCCAGGGCAGGAAGGAAGTGTCTGACCAGGGAGCTAAGCCTTGGAAGGCCGGGCGTGTGGATCCTGGCCCCGTCCCACTGCGGCCGGCGCCTGCCCGCCCTGCTGCCCAGCCCTGGGTGGGACGCAAGGGGCCCAAATTAGCCAGTGACCAGGCTCGGCAGCATCTGTCCTGCGGCTCC